GGTCTGTATTAAGCCCAGTGAACATATTTTAATGATTTACTGTATATCAATTTTTTAAATGATTATACAGCAAATGGATAACATAGTTTCATCATTTAACTAGTCTCATTCAGAACGATGTTCCATGCCAAAACTACGGTATCATTGTCGGTGTCACACTCAATATTGATCCACAAAATATTGATTGATAACTTACTCTTCCTGGTTGCTGTTCCTCATTTTCCAAGCAGGCAACCACCGACTCTGTAAACTGAGGTTCACCAAGAAACTGGCTAATGTCATGAAATGTTCCTTTGACAGCACCTTTCTTGCGCCTCTCTGCCGGAGATGAGGATGGTGGGTGTAGAGTCTTTGAAGCAAGGTCACATATAAGATTTCTTGATGGAGGTTTCCATGATGCAGCATTAGACTTTCCTTTCTTGGGTTTCTCTGTTACGTGGTAGTCCGACATATTGCTTGTTGCCTCAATGTCCTGGACCTCATAGTTCCCCTCAACATCAATAAATTCATCTTCGTAAGCGGCATTTTCCTTAAACGGAGCCACATCAATCCCCAACTCCTCATCTGTTATTCGCCATTCATCTACAATAGATGGCTGCTGCCTATTTGTAAATTTCTTGTACCCTTTTGAACGTCCCTGTTTCTGTTCAAACTGATCTTCAGCAACAAGTCTCTGCAACTGTTGGTCAAGAGTTCCTTGCTGAACTCCAAGGTCCTTACGTTTGCGTTTTGACGTTGTCCTAGGGGTTTCAATATATGGCACTTTAGCATATATCATATCCATCTCGGATTGTTGTTTATTGGATTTCATGCTGGTAGCACCAACTTCTATTTGCTGCTTAGAGTCCTTCACCAAGTTCTTCTTAACAGTGCGACGCACTTTGGATTTATCATTTTTTGAAGGGTCTGGCTCGGATTGAGATAGTAATTTCCATGACTGTACACGTGGTCTTCCACTCCTCCTCACATTTAAAAATTTATCTTCAAGACATTTTTGTTCTTCAGAACAATCTTCAATTGTAGATTTTTTGGAAACTGAAAGTTCACAATTCAAATCATATACATCTGGCAGAACATCTATACACTGTTTATGACCATCAAAATAATAATCATCATTTCCACTAGAATCATCTAAAACAGATTTGTCTGTTAATTTCTTATCATTATCAATAATTAATTCTTCAGATAATATGGGATGGTGAAAATTGTCATTGGGTAACACTTTAATGTCTTTTCCTGGGTGCATGGGAAGAACTTTTGATGCATTTATATCAAGTCTATCTACACTATCATCCTTTCCTAGCTCTTCAGATTCATCTTTATTACTTCTATTATTGGACACAGGTTCAGAAAAATTGGAATTTTCTTCAAATTTCACATTTGTTGTCTTAGGCGAGTCCTCAAACTCTTCATTTGCATCTTTATTAGTAACATCTTTCTGCTCTTCCTCAGTTACAATGCTTAATTCATTTCTAGCAGTGGATGTTGTTCCTGAATCATTGCACATCTGTCCATTTATGATCTTGTGCCATTGTTCATAAGTTTCTCTGATACTTTTAGCCAACAAGTCTTCAGTTTCTTCTGGTGACTCTGACTCATGTAAGTCATTTTCACATGGTTTGTCAAAAGTAGTCAAGTTCACTCCATCATTACTGTACTTATGGTCTCCATTAAATTCCTTGTTACCATCTCCAGTTTGAGCATCTTGCATGCTATCTATGTTTGCCTCACTGGAAGTATGAAGATTTTCCATGCCATTCATCTCTGACCCATCAGATATTTTAGAAACTTCCTTGACCATCGCTTCATCAAACATTGAAGGATCAGCCTTGCCTTCCATTCTTGGCCCATCAGCAGTTTGTAGGTCTTCTATGCTTTCCATCTCTGCCTCATCCATGCTTTTCCCCTCCAAATGATCTACTCTTTCAGTACCCTCCATAGCATCCACTTCCAACTGACCATCAATTTCACCAGCTCTTACCGTATCCTCTAGACCATCTACCTCAGATTCATCAGCAACTTTAGAACCTTCAATACAATCCATTTGTGACTCCTCAGCCATTAGCGGATCCACAATGTCATCTATATCAGAGTCATTAGCAGTATGGATATCCTTGATGCTATATATCTCTGAGTCAACACCTGCTTGAGGATCCTCTTTGCCATCCATCTCCATTTCATTAGAATGTTGGGGATCTGATTTCCCATCCATTGCTGCCTCATCAGCAAATAGACGTTCATTGCCATCCATGTCAATTCTGTCCTCCTTGCTCTCACCCTCCACCTCAACAGCATGTTGGAAATCCATTTTGAAATCCACATCCACCTCATCAGCCATCTGTGTATCTCTTTTGTCGTCTACCATCATTTCTTCACAACTTTTCAAGGGGTTTGAATAGTCCTGTACATCAACATCATCTTCATCAACTTTATGTTCACTTTTCTGGGTTTCAGAATTGTTTGAAGAAGATATTTCTGGCACATTAGTTTGGTCAGTCTCATTTATACTAGTCTTTGCTAGATGGCTTTGCATTCTTTGCAAAGCAAGCTTGGGTAATTCACTTATATATTTGCTTTTAGTGTCTTTCTCATGGACCTTGTTGTTATAGTCTTTGCTAATAGTGGAATGCTCTATTTTTTTAGAGGTTGATTCTGATGTGGTACTAATAGACTCCTTATCTTGTTTATTTACAGACTTTACAACAACACTAGCAAATCCAGATCGTTTAGCCGTACAATCTTCATTTTTATTGATGTTTGCTAGATCTTTTATTTCTTCCACAGGTGATATGCAATCATGAACTTTTGGAACGTTCTTAGCTTTATTGTTAAATACAGCTATTATCTTGCAGTCATCATCATCAGTCTCATCTTTGGTGTAGGAATCAGTTACTGGTTTCTTTGTATCAAAAGTTTTTTTCTCTACAGTCTTTGTAAGTTTGATTGGTAATTTTGGTATGAATACCCACACGGTAACAGTTTTTACGTTATGCTTTCCACTCATAGCGTTACCTGGTTTCAGGTGAACTGTTCGCGTTTTTTCACTGTAGTAAAGGAACAAAGTAAAACCAGCTGCTTTGGTAGATATGGTTTCATCCAAAGTACTTTGTAAAATAACACTGACTATAGCAGACTTATGTGGCAGCCAATCTTCATTGGAATTAATATCAATGAGGACAGGATGTGCTTTGTCCCTTGAGGTTTTATTCACCACTAACAAAGAGGTTGTTTCCCAAGCCTTGTCACTGAATCTGGATCTCACACGGACAACTTTATCAATACACATCAGGGCTTTATTTGCAGACTTACTATTACCTGTGAAGTTAGCAACTTTTTTGTGAGGCAACCTTGTTGCTGATGGAAGTTCCACAATATCAGAACTTGTTTTTCCTAAGGTTTGCTTGACTTTTACTTTTATTCTTTCAATGGGCAAAGATACCCCAGAAGATGGAGTGCTGGCAGTGTCTGTTACATTCGTGGTAGTACTTGTGCTGTTACTTTTTGTATTCTCGGTTTCCTCTTCAGTCAAGTCAATGAACACCGGTTTCTGTAGTGGTGTACTTTTGCTTGAACGAATGTTTGCAGGGCCACCAGGTTTTAACAAATCTTGACTGGATCTTTTGTCTGTCAGTTCCTTATTATATTCATTTACATCATCTGCATGCTGTTTTCCTTTGGTATCAGATTTTTGTACTGATGGTCGAGTATCAGTCTGATGAAGACAAACAAAATATTTCATTAGATTTGTGAATTTCATCAGAGAATATCATACAAAAAAAAAATCAGCTGCAATTAATTTAAAATACACATTTTCAGCTCTTTGCTGTTACTGTAGGTCTTTGAAGATAAAGGAATCTTTCTAGTGAAATTGTGGCCTCATTTACAATATTAGGATCATACTTGCATTCTCAAAATTTCAGACAGTACAATATAAAAAAATTACCCATTTACTCACCACTATATTTTTTCCATCCAAACTTTCAGTTGCCATTGAACCACAAACTTTGTCAGTTGGGATCTCTGTTGCAATGCTTGACTGAATGGAGACAGGTATGTGTATATCATTTGGTAATATTTTCCTCTGGCTCAGATCAGCATGTTTTATATTTGGAATGATGTTTTTACCCTTTGGTATCAATTTTCTCTGCCCAGGACGAGCATTATTTTGTGTATTTGGATCAAAAACAGGCACAGAAATCGGTTGTTGATTATGTTCACCTACTTTCTGATCATTTACAGTTTTATTAGATGATGGAAGTGCATCCCCTGAAGAAGTACTTGCTGGATTGATACAAGGCACAGAAATCTCTTGAGGATTATTGTGACCTGCTTTATCGTCACTTAGAGGTTTAAAAGATGAGAGAGCTGCCTCACTGGTAGAAGTAATTACTGGTTTTGTAGCAGACACAGAACTCTGTTGAGGAATGTTCTGACCAATTCTATTGTCATTCACAGTCTTAACAGATGGCGAAGCTGCCTCAAAGACAGAAGTACTAGTAGATGGCCCAGTGAGTACTGTTGTGACATATCCAACACTTGTATTTGTATTCATCTTTTGCATTGGTGCCAACAATGAATTGGTGAACTGAAATTGTTTGATACTATCTGTATTACTGGTAGGTATTTGTTTATTTTGTTTAGGTTTACTTCTTTTCTTCTTTTTTGGTGTGCCTGTCGATTTTGCTTGTACAGGTAGGTTTTGTTCAGGGACTGGTGTAGGTACAGCAATAAGTGGTGCAAGCATGAAACCTTGGACTTTATCTTGTGAAACAACAAGTGAAGAAGTTACTGTGTTTTGACTTTCAAGTTTTTTTGCTTGAGCAAGCTTTTCTGATGCAGTTTTCGGTTCTTTCCTCATTTGAGCTGGCACAGCAACAAGGTGACTGGATCCATTCTCCTGAGGAATTCGGTAGACAATGACAGGAACTGTCTCCTGTTTTTGTTGATTTTCCTTAAGGCTGTCATGGGCATGGTATCCTCGGTTTACACATGAGCAATGTTTTTTTCTTGGCCTACTTATGTATGTCCGTGTCCTTGCACATGTTTCATAGCGTGTTAAGTTAGATGAACTGTTCTGAGACAGAATGATCTCAAATTTATTACTAGAATCTTTAGTGCCAAGAGAAGTTACCTGTTGTCCTGATTCTCCTTGGAATGTATACATTGGGTGGCCTTGGCCTGATTTTATTGAGGTTGATTCTTGGAAGTCACAGGTGCAACCAAACATACAATTTACCTTTCTACAGTGAGATATACCGGTTTCAACTTTTTTACTTCCATCAATGCTTCTGCATAGGCAACCAAGTTTACAGTAGTCTTTACCGCAGTCCGGAAGTGCTTGATTGTCCAAATTTGATTTGTGTACATCAAAGCCATGGATATCATCATCATTATTCAAATCATCAGAGAAATGTTCATCTAAATCCTGCATCAAACCAAAGTCAGAACTCTCGGATGCAGTATCAACTGGTGATGTACAAGTAACTTGTTGAAGGAGTTCCTGTTGCATGCGGTCCATGGAGTCTACAGAATCATCACTATCCTCATGGCAAACTTTTTTGGGAACAGCTTTTGTTTTCTTTTTTACCTTCTTCGTCTTTTTCTTGGAACCCAATTTCTGATGTGTTGGCTTGCTCTTGAAAGTCTCACCACAATCTGCAGTTGATGGATAAACAAGTGAATCACACTGAGATGGTGGTTCTGTTTTTGAGAATTGATTATTTTTATTTCTTCTCTTCAATACCATGTCAAGGGTTCGCACATAACTCTGCGGCTTGTCTGGCTGAAAGTAAGAAACTGGCTTTATTGTAAGGGTAGAATCTGTTAAAATAGAACTTCTATTTTGTAGTTTATCAAGATATTCATCAAGTTCCTTGCTTACAAACGCAGAAGTCTTGGATGTGACTGGCAGCTCAAATGGTTTAAAAGGTTTGCTCTCAGACTCTGGTAGTCTCCATTTATCAGGATCTGCTGTCAATGAAGGGTGGTGTATAGATGTTGGGTCATTTTCCTCACTAAAGTCATTGTCAGGAGGCTTTGATTGATTTTTAACTGGTAACTGTTTAGATGATAATACATCTACATTAGAAACTTTCTTGTGTTTGAATGACTTTGATGACTTTTTTCTACAAGTTGATTTAGCCTTACTATTAGCTGGAGGTACAATTTGGTTCAAATTTGTTAACTTTGGTGGATCTAAATTCACACCCAGTTCAGCTAGGTTATAGCGTTTAGCTGGTGACTGGCTAAGGCGAGTTATTCCTGCTTTCTTCAGGTCTGGATGTATAGTTTGGTGGTGCTTCTTCTTACTCAGTTCCTCACAGAGCATACGTTCATATAGCAATATTTTATTGTTGATGCCTCTGAAACCATGGTTGACACCTGCACCTCGTTTTGCTTTCTTTTTCTTTTGCTTTTGTTTTGATTTAGATGAATTGGTTTTGAAATGCGAGATGTCTTCAAGTAAGTCTTTATGTTTATTTCTTGGTTGCTGAGTCTGTTTCTCAATTTCAACATGTGCTTCCAGCGAGTCTTGAGTACAAAAAGAAATGAACATTATATCATCAATTTCATCAAAATCTGGAACATAATCTTCACTGCTATTATTTCTAGTAAAAAGTCTTCCTGTTCCATAGGACTGGATGTTATTATAGTCATAATTACTTGTATCCATTATCTCATTTAGTTCACTTGTAGAGCAACCACCAATATTGTAGCTTTTATCGGCCATTGTTATTCCTTGTGGGAGATCTATTGGTTCCAACTTCACAGAAACATTGTTTAAAACGACAGGAACTGTTTCAACTGACTTCGGGTTAGAACTGTCTGATGAAAAATTGACATTTTTGGAAGTACCAGGGCCAGTTTGTTCTTTGTACAAGTCTGGATATTTATCTTTAAATTCCTTTAAAGTTGAATAAGTCACACGCTTCCTTTTCCCGACATTAATTTTTTTCTCACATGCAGATAGAATTGGTTTCACATCAACATCACAGTGTTCTGTTTGCATTTCCTGATCTGTGTTGAACACATCAAAAATATTTCTAATTGAAGAATCCTCAGAGTAATCAATTTCAGTTTGCTCTGTCTGTTCCAATTTTATTTTGGGGATTTGAGGTAAACATATTTTGCGGAATTTAGTGAATGTTGCCTTTTTTATGTCATTTATTTTTATATTACAGCCACTATTACTGCTCATGCTTTGTACTGCATCATCCATTGGCAATGGCTCCAAACATACAAATGGCGATCTCTGCAAACGTGGCAGAGGAGGTATACAGTCTATGTCAAGATGAGGTGTGGTGTTATCACTAACTGAAGCAAAGATATTTCTTTCAGAATTATTGTCATCTAATTTCTCTAGTTTGATGGCTATCCTATGTGATTTATTCTGGATTAAATCCTTTGAAAATGACTCAATATGTGAATATTCTGGCAAGAGATCTCCATCAGAACCTTGCTGGGTGATTTCAACATGATTAATGCCCTCACATTGAGCTTCATTAACTTCTTGTTTTAACTGGAAAGATTCAACATGTGGATTTTCTTTCAGATAATCTGTAGAAAACAGATTTGGTCTTTGATCAGATAGTGATAAGTTTGTATCTGCATCAAAGTCGGTGCTGCTTTTTTCAAACACATTTTCTACTTCATCAATCTGCTCAGTAGTAGCCATTGCTGTACTATGCTCAGAGACTACACCAACTGTTGGAAGAGCAATCTCCCCATTGACATCCACAACAGCTACAATATCTGATGAGCAGTATGGATCATGCTGAGGTATCACATTGTTCCTCTGATGGTTTGTCTTTTCTGCAATGTTGTCCATTACCCCACTTTTCCCCTTTTCAGCTCGATCTCTACACTCATGGATTAATTTTGTATCAGAGCTGGCATCAGGATGTCCAGAAATCCTGGAAGTAGTAGTAGTAACTAAATCATCCGACAAGCTTGCTGGTGAATCAATTCCGACTTTGTTGTTTGCATGTGCTTTGTCTGTAAATATCCCCTGACGAGGATGCTCATCATCACAATGATTCATTGTTTCATCTTTAAATTCAGTTTCTGCTACACTATTTTTGTGGGTTGATTTACAGATGGGCAAATCTACCACTCAACTCACCCTCCAACCTAAGGCATTCAGGACCATGTGACGGCAAAGCGTTTGCATTTAACACTGGCAGCCCATCAGAAGACATTTTCTTGTAACTAACATTTTTATCTGAAATTCATAAAATGTAAACAATTTTAAATCTTCTACTGATACCTAAATAAGATACAATCATAGAATTTGTGTTTTTAAGTTATATTTATAGTCAAATTGCCATAGTTGGCTAAACATAATAAACTTGTGTATATGCTGAATGTTCCTGGAACAATTAAGCCTCAAGCTTTAGGACCAGTTGGATATCAAGAAAATATTCATGGAACTTTCACTGGTAGAAGATGAAAGCAGATCTAAACAAGCGAGCCAAATGGCTGAGCGGTTAAGGCAGGGGCACCGTGATCATAGCCAACAATATCGGCACAAGTTCGCGGCTGGCTCGTTCCTATAGTTCTGGTGGTGGAACAAGTCTTCTCGGATAAGGACTATAAACCGTAGGCCTATTGTACACAAATGCCCATGTGCACTTTAAAGAACCCAGTACATCTTTCGGGATGAGTAGGGGTGTACTGGTTCACTCGGCCCCTGTCGTGGACAGATGAAAGTGCGCCGGTTTACTGGCTGAGGAGGACATGAAGTGACCCTCAGGGAGGAGAAAGTTATTGAAAAGTGCAATCATCTAGTCCCGAGCACATAGAGACCTCGTTTATTTGTGCTATATAAATCCATCTAATATTATTATTATCTAGATGAATTGGCATTGAAGTACAATAAGCCAATTCGTAGTTCCAATTGCACGTCCGCATTGCAGGTCAATCAACAAAAACAATCATTTAACACACACAGCATAGGCCTCCAAATAGGCATGGTCTTTTGGAATCGGTAACAGTTCTTCATTACATAAATATTATATCTATCTATATGCATCACAGTTTACGTTAGTATTTTCAGACAATTCCAAAGGCCGACATAAGTCTTAGGCCTAGCTACGCCTACCCTATGTTGTGCGTGTCTATCGAAAACTACAAAATGACTTATCTATCAAGACAAAAATGAAAACACTAGATATTGAGGTTAATAAAAAACCTGAAAACTTAAAAATGTGTAACAATTACTTATACGGAATCCTATATTTTTTCGCATAGATCTATTATTGGCTAGTTATTTAATATAATTTGTGAACATCTCTATATTAGACCATTTACAGTCTAAAACCAACCACTAAATTAAATGAAAAAAACCAGTTTCGAATTCATTGATTCTTCCGTTAAAACACAACTAATGTTGTTTGAAGGTTTGCATGGCAAAGTATAATATATAATTAATGCTTGCGGTACACCACGTAGATAGTTCTGAAAAGAACTGTTGGTTGAGAATATCTCGACATTTCGGTTGACTTGCTTCAACCGTCTTCAGGAGAATAATATCTGCAGAGATCTCAAACAGGGAAATAGTTATATGTTTGAGTGATGAGACTTGCTGCTGATTGGTTGAAAACTAAACAAAGGCTGAGCCTACCAGTGAAAAGCTATACAAAAGCTAAAATTCACGGTCTGAATAGAAGGGCGTGGCGTGGCTAATGTTGACATTAAATTATTGATTTTACAAACTATCTATGATGATATCAAGGAATGAATAACCATCCATCCATTTTTAAAAACAATAAAACACTACAGGTACTTTGTTTTTATTAACAATAAAAATAATGAATTAAGAGACGCTTACTATATAATTTCAAAACAAAATTTAATGACAAGAAAGATCGACGTTTCGGGTCCATCATGGAACCATTCTCAAGATCAAATAAATTGAAAAAAACTAAAAACAAAAATACCAAGCAGTGACAGGAAGTAATTAATTTACATATCAATAGGGCCTACTGTGTGGAGCCGTTAGTGGAGCTAAGCAATAATTAGCCCTTTTTAGCAAATTAACTAGATAAACAGTTTGGCTTTGACTGAATCAGTTTGTTTGTGTGTAGGTTCCAGTTCTTTGATCCAAAGCATTTCTTTGATTAAGCAATCAAACTTGGATTTGCACTTAGATAAAACCTTGAAATAATTAACAGTTTCAGTAGCACTAATATCATGATCTTTTAAATGTTGTCCTATGTTACCTTTACTGTGCTCATCAATGCGTTGATAAAGGTGTCGACAAGTGTAGCCGACATAGCTTGCATCGCACAAGCCACATTGAAATTTATAAACAAGGCATTGTTCATTAACAATCTTAGGTTTACTTTCTTTCGATTTCAAGATTTCACCTATCTTCCTGCTTGTGAATACGGGCATAATTTCATTATTAATCTTAAAGCTAAGCTGTTTAAGTTGTTTAGATCATAGAGAAAATAGAACAGATTTCTCTATGTTTAGATACGGTGTTGGAACAAGTTTGATCTTTAAATGGTAGAACAATTCTGATGGGTTATATGATTAAATTATGATATATATTGTACAACTGAGTTTTCTAAGGCACAAAAAGCATATTTGACGATTGAAAAACATGAGAATGGTTAATGAGATACAGATTTTTGAATATTTAAAGACAGGGGTAGGGCTGAGGGGGTGGGGAATGGGGCGTAACCACCCTTTTTCCACAATTTTCTCCAAAGTGTAAATATTCAAAAAATCTGTATCTCATTAACCGTTCCCAAATTTTTTGCCACATAGGCTTCTTGTGTCTTTGAAAAATCAGTTATACAACAAATCATAATTTTTTTCCTCTGGAGCCTGACTTTAAGGTTCACCCCTATTAAAGAAACACTTTTTTTGGTCCCAAAGAAATCTCCTTAACAGGGGTTCAACTTCAAAAACAATGTATATTTAATTTAAATATATATCTTTTATAAATATCTATTTAGGATCAAGTCTATATGATGACCCTTTATTGACCTATATATGATGACCCTTTATTGACCTATATATGATGACCCTTTATTGACCTATATGATGACCTTTTATTGACCTACATGACCACCCTTTATTGACCTACATGATGACTCTTTATTGGTGAAGTACTAAAAAGCCAGGATAAGATCTGTAGTCTATTTAAAATAATTTTTAAATTCATAAACATGCCTTGTATTGTAGTAATTGCTTCAGAAATATGCCAACAGGGGGGGGGCGCCAACAATTCCAACAGGGGTGTCTGAAGCAAGGAATTGACACGAGCCTTGGTGAGTCGGCCATGGTCCTCTGAAAGAATTCCCTAGTGGTTGATTTCATGGGGTGAATTTTTATGGCTTGCTGTACTGTAGTATGGCCCACAACTGTGCTTTGTTCGACGTACCACAATATTAGGAACTAACAAAAGATAGACAAATTAATTTTTTTTATATTTTTGTTCGAAAACAGGGGTCCAAGCTTGTCTGACAGGTGGAATTTTCCCTCTCTGACAGACCCCCCCCAACCCCGCTGGCATTGCCACTGACGCCTTGTTCCCAAAGTTATAATTAGTTAAAATCAATAATACTAATTAGACTAATTGATTAATTTAAATTATTTACATTGTGAAATATATACATAATTATAATTATTTAATATTATGCATTTCAATACGACTATATTGTAGAGTATATACAGGTGTGTAAGCCTACAAAAAGCTTGCAAGTCAAATTAGTGTTCGCTGTATGCATTAAATTTATATTCATCATAGTTGCTTGTACTGCAATTGAGAATCATGGACTGCACACATTTATGGCATGCACTTTTATGGCTCAATGATCACTTGAGAAATTGTTTTAAAAAAAAATAGTTTAGGACCCGGGATCAATCACAAAAGGGGAATTGAATGTCAAATTAGCAGCTACCATAACAAGTGGCAAGTATAGTCTACATCCAATGAAGCAAAATCATCTAAAGTCTACCGTAAAACATGAGACTCCTGGAAATTCGCACGATCTTTCATACATGTACAGAGTACATAAAAATCTCCCAGAAACTAACCCGTCTCCCATAAATTCATGTTTTCATGTTCTTACTAATGTAGTAACTGTTTCTCGAAAGTTAGCGACCATGGTATATCACTATGCGCAAAAATTAAATGCATAAACCAGATCTCCCAGAAGTTGATTAAACTTTAACTTGGGACAGCTGGGCCTAGACTACGATATCAAACTATCCTAGCACTGCACCTACCTGTACATGACCTAGGCCTACAGAACTAGTAGTAGCCTGCTAGACTACTACAAACAGCACAACAAAGGCCTAGGCCTAGGCTAGGCCTACAAACAGAACAGTATTGGTACAGTGTGTGAAATGAATTTTGGAAACACAAGTATATACTATACTGAATATTATTACAAAGATAGGCACAATAAAATTATGATTAAATTTGTCCATGTCTAGATAAAATTTCCACCAATTAGCTGGACACGCCTAGAAAATGACGATTTCAAATGTAGGCGTCGTTTTAAATTAAAATTTAAGTTCAAGCATGCTTCATATTAAAATAATTATATTTACTGTTATGTTTAATTCTTTTTTTTTAAATATTGATATGATCGCCGTTTCATAGTAGGCCTACGTTTTATGGGCATTAAAAAAAGCACAAAAAAGGCAAAAAAAAAAAAAAAGAAACGTAAAATGATTACCCTCGAAGGTTTCTTGTTGACTGTTGTTACTTTCTTGCACTCACATTAATACATGACAAAACACCACAATTAAAAAAAAATCTATGTTGCCATATACACAATTGGGTTACATAAAAAAAATTATCTTTACATTAACTTTTATACTAGAGACCGCAGTCAACAAAAGCTTGATTGGCAGGCCGGAATGACGCAATTCAGTTGATACTGGTGTTGGTTACATTGTCTTAAGGAGCAGCACAGCTGCCCTCTGACATTTTTCTCAGACGTTGACATTGAGATCCAGAACTATAACACATCGACCTGATCGAGAATGTGCAACGTAGATCTACTAGGAGTACTTGTTCCTGGTTGAAGGGTTTTGAAGTTCTGATAGGCTCCGTACATTAAATTTACCTACTCTGAAGTACGGTACAGAAGATAGAAGCGATATGATTGAGACATTTAAAATTCTAAATAATTTATATGATAGTTTTGTCTCTAGTTTTTTTTTTTTTTACAATTTAATGTTTTAGACAGAACTCGTGGACACTCTCTTAACTGCTAAAGCAACTTTCTCGTGTGGAC